CTTCATTTAATAATTCTTTTATAATTCCAAAGACTTGAGGAGGAATTAAATCTAAATTACATATTATTAATTTTCCTAATTCATCCATAATTTCTGATACACTATCTAAACTTTCAAATACTAAATTTTCATTTTTAGTTTGTGTAGGATCAACTGAATCAAAATAGAATCTTGGGTTAGTCATCATTTCATTAACTAATGTTGATATAACTTTATTTAAATATTTAGTAGAAGTAGATTCTATATAATAGAAAAATAATCGAGTAAATGCTGAGTTCCCACGAAATATAAATGAAGATGGTGGTGTATTTTGAATTTCTAATTTTCCCAAAGAAGATAAGACTTCTCTAAGTAAACCATAACTTGTAGCATATCGTATTAATAATTTACAGTGAACTTTTGATTGAACTAGATCACATCCTTTAATCATAATTTTGCAATATGTAAGAAGTAATGGTGTTGGTTTATGTTGAAAGAATAGTTCAGATATACAAGGGACTTCAGTCATAATAAAAAAAGAAAGAAGTTTTTAGTTTCTTATCTTTTTTCATGAAATTTCAAAAATAATACTTTGCATCTTTAATTAAGTATTATTGATTTTTTAATGAGTCTACAATTCTAAAACCAAAATAATAAACAGTCTTTTTTATTTTATTTTTGTTAAAAACTAAATAAAGTCCGTGTCAACAGGTTCTACTCGAAGATGTAAAATAACTAAGAGCCCTAACCAATAATTAATAAAGAAGTTGTTCGAGGAAATAATCCTAACAATAATGGTTAATTATCAAAAGACCTCTTTTCCTTTTTTATCCATTTTTCAAAAAACTGATTAGCTTCATAAAATCTGGACAAGAACCCTCATTAATACAAAAAGAAATATAGAATGACATAATCAAATACTTTTATAAAACAAAAATTTAAGAAAATGTTATTTACTAAACAAAAAAATAAAATAAAAAATAATAACAAGTTTTACCCTATGAAAAGAACTAAAAAAGATGAACCCTTTAAGGACAACAACATGTCAGCTCCACAATGGTTTGTTCCAGTTAAAGCAGGTGATGCTAAAGTTCCAGCTTATTACCCAACCGATGATATGATTCAAGAACAAAAGAAGAAATTAAGAACAAGAAAAGGAGCTAAAATAACAGCTCTTGATAAACCAGCATGGAACCTTGAAAAATTAAGAAAAAGTATTGTACCAGGTGCTATTCTTATTATTGTTGCTGGTAAATATGCAGGAAAGAAAGTTGTTTTCTTAAAACAATGTATTAAATCAGGAGCTCTTATTGTTACTGGACCATTCAAAATCAACGGTGTTCCATTAATGAGAATTAACCAAAGATATGTTATTGCTACTTCTCAAAAGGTAGATGTTTCTAAAGTTGATACTACTGGTGTAGATGTTAAATTCTTCAAAAAGATTGCTATTAAGAAAGCTGCCTTTGGAAAAACTGTTGAAGAAGATTTTGCTAAGAAACAATATGAAGCTAAGAAAGCATCAATTGTCGAAAAACAAAAACAAGTAGATGAAAGTATTGTTGCTGAAATTAAGAAAGTTCCATACCTTAAAGAATATATGGCTTCTTACTTCACACTCAAGAATGGTGACCATCCACATCTCCTTAAATTCTAAATGGAATTGAATATTGGGTATGATTTGCTTTTATAATTATATTTTAATTTTTCTAATTAAATAAATAAGTAGTAAATTTTAAGGAAATATTGATAATAAAATATTCATAACTTTTTTAAAGTATTGACTCTTTAATAAAATATATTAAACGTCTTTATTGATTTAAAAATAATAGACAAAACAATAAAATCAAAAAAGATACCTAAAATTGTATTCCAAAACCTCGATGATTACATTCCTTAAGCAACAACTGGGAATGCAAATTTAACCTTTTCACCAGTAATGTTCTTGTAAACAGCTGAGTAAATTGGGAGCTTAGCCTTGACTGAGTTCTTTAATTTAGCATCATCAACGGCAACAAAAACGGTTTTAGAGTTAGCAATTTTCTTGTTGGCTAAGGTGACATGAACTCTTTGACCAGCAACTTCAACTGGATATAACATTTCATTCAAATAAGCTTCATGAACAGCCTTTGAAGTTCTTGATCTTGGTTTATAGTCAGTCTTTCCTGATTGTCCAGTTTTCTTAGTATGTGCAACAACTCTTTTACCAATAATGAAGACTGGTCCATTAAGTTTCTTTTCAAGTGCTTCAATAACTTTTTCGAATGAAGCTCTGCAAATTCTCATCATTCTTAATGGAACAAAAATAACAGTAGCCTTTTTATCTTTGCTAATAGTAACTTTCTTAGCACTAATAACTTTAAGTCCCTTGAGTTCTGGAATTCCAGCAACATGTTCTTTAACAAATTTTGAATAAGCATCGAATCCTGGTTTTTTAACAACGACTTGAGTAGCAACTTGGGATTTAGCAGCAGTCATCTTGCCAGACATGGTCTCACTGATTCACTTCTCAGTTCAGAAGGGTTGTGCTAATTTTTTATAAATTTTAAGGGTTTTCTAATATTTTTTATTTTTTATTACTATCTTTATTTAATTCAATTATTCATTTTTTATTATTCAAATTTCTATGATTTATGGAAAATTAAGCTTATTTATAAATACATTAAATTTCCCAAAAATGTACATAATCAATTCAGTTACTTCTTAATGCTTCATAAGACCCTTTTCTTTTTTGATATTTTTGCTTTTTCTCTTTATACTGGTTTTGAACTTTGCTGAATTCAGGTAATTTTGTGAATTGAGTTGGTGTTGGTAATATTTCTTGAGTGGTAGTGTTTGAAGTGTTTGTTGTTTCAGAATTAAATAACTGAGATAAGGAATTAATAAAAGTGTCTATTTTTGATGGAGGTTGAAAAACATTAAGTTCTTCTTGATTCTTTTGGTTAGTATTAAGTAAAGGTGTATTTTCGGTAGGCGTAGATTTTGGACTTGAAAAATCCATAGAGCCAGTTAATAAAACAGTTTTTATGACTTCTCTTAAATATTCTAACACTTCTAGTTGTCCTTTCAGTTAAAATAGTTGATAAACCAAAGATTATTATCAAATTTAATCTGAACTTAAAATTCAAAAAATATTTCAATGGAAGAAGGAAAAGTATATGATGTTGAAGTAAAACCAATAGTTAATGATGAAATTATTGTTTTTGAGTGTTTGTGTGTATTTGTTAATAAAACAAAGCATTGCAATAATTAATAGCGAGTGCTGTTGGAGGAGTTGAAACTCTAGACCAACCAGATGTTGACCAAATTCAAATAGAGGTTTGTTTGATTTTAAAGTTTAATATTAATAATTAAAGTTTAATTTTTAGGGACAAACATATCAAATGGTAAATAAACCAAATCAAAAAATTCAATTTATATTACAATATTCAGATGAAGGAATTCAACTTCATGAAGTAAAACTGAAAAGGTTAGATAAGAAAGGGATATCTCAAAGTGATAATAATCAAAGTATAAAAATGGAAGATGAAGAGTCAGATGTTGATGACTATTTTGGAGAGAACGAAGAAGAAGATGACGATAGTAATGAGGATGATGATAGTAATGCAGATGCGCTTGCTGCATTTGACAATGCTGACGATAATGAGAATGACGATTTGAAGGACTCAGACAGTGAAGGAGATGATTGAAGAAAAAGATTAGTGTAACAAAGAATTCCAATATTGAGAAATTATTATAAGAAGAAAGAAATTAAATTATTATTTTTTGTTTTTTTTTTTGTTATTAAAGAAAAAGACAAAATAATTAAATGAAGAAGATATTAATTTACGATTAAATCAAACATTCGATAAATGTAAATATATAAAATCATATTAAACAGGAACACTCTGTTCTGTAGTATTTAAGAGGGTTTTAGTAAATTCGTAAAATAGATTTAGGAACTGTTCTACTGAATGGTCTTTTGACATTCCAGAAATAACAACTTCATCATTAAATTCTTGGTCTATTAAAAGTTAGTGAGAGCGTTGTGATTTATTTTACAAAAAAAAATGAAACAAACCATTAGAAAAGAAAGGTTTTGGAAATCCCCATTTATCATTAATTGGAGAATTAACTTTGAATATTAATATTGTTCTTGGGTCTTTATACAATGTTGATAATGCACTTGATACCATAATTTTATCTTCAAAACAGTCATATCTAAAAAATGCATTTGCATTACAATATTTAGCAATATCATGTAATAATTGTTCAAATGACTCTGGGTATTTAGGATGTTCTTTTATCATCCCACTTATATTTTGTGTATTATTTTCATAAATTTTTAAAACTTCTTTTTTATGTTCATCAATTAAACTTGGTTTTTGTGGTGATTCCATTACTTTTTTATTTTCTTTTTTCTTCTTTCTTCCTCCAGACCCAACACTTCCAGTTTTTGACTGACTGTCTTCTTCTTTAATACTTTTGCTATAAGGCTTTTTTATTTGTTGAGGAACTATTTTTTGTTGGACAAATGGAGGTGTTTGTGCTATTGTTTGTTTCATTTGAATATTTGGTTGTATTTGTGTAAGAATAGGTTGACTAGTTTGTTGTGGTAATCCTGTTATATTAATTTTATTTGTAGTTAATGGATGAGTAAGGTTTGATGGTGTCAAAACATAAATTCCTCCTTTTTGTTGTTGGGGGAGTTGTTGGGTATTTAATTGAAGAATACGTGAAACTGGGACTTGTGTTGGTTGAAGTTTAAATGAAATTCCTTGTTGTATTTGTTGTGGCATTTGAGGTAGTTGGTTTGATTCTTGTTTTGTTTGAAGTTGTTGTTGAGGAAAGGAAGCTTTTTGTTGATTAAGATTAAAATTTAATTGACTAGATGGTATATTTATTGGTTGGTTAGTATTTCTTTGGGTGATTGGTTGATTCAAAGATTTAGAAATATTATATCCAATTTTTTGACCAGATAAGTTACCATTAGTATTAAGAATAAAATTACTTGTTTGTTTTTGGTTAGGTTGTGAAACAGTTAGTGGCTGCATAGGGATTTGAGGGTGAATACTAGGAAGATTATTTTGGCTATTAGAATGGATTTGGGTAGGAACTATTTCTTGTGCAACACCATTACTAACAAAGAATTGTTTAGTTCCTTGAGGAGTAATTGCTTGAAAAAGTTGAACTTTTTGGTCAAGACGAAGTTGACCATTTTGAGTTGTAATAAAAGGAGTAACAGGGATAATGCCTTGAGTTTGTTGAAGTTGTTGTAATTGACGTAGTTGTTGTAAGCTGATGCTAGTTTGAATTGGTTGGTTTTGTTGTTGAGAAAGAGGACGAGTTTGAGTATTATTAACCCTAGACAAGTTTTGAATTTGTTGAAAATTTTGATTTGGTATGGTATGAAGGTTGGGCTGTATTTTTTGAATTGGTTGAGGAAGGGTTGTTTGAATTTGTTGTTGTAATCCTTGCCTATTAATTGATTGATGAGAAGTAACTAATTGAGGTGTATTAACTAATTGAGGTTTTGGAGTTTGTTGTTGACGAATAAAAGAATGTTGGTTTTGTGTTTGAAGTGATTGAACTTGAGAAGGTTCTAATTTAACTTGAACCATGGAAGGGAATACTTGAATAGGTTGTTGAGAAGTCATTTGAACTCTTTGAGAATTAGAAGGAATAGATGATAATATTACTTGATTTATTTGTTCATTAGAAGAAGGTAAATTAGATTTTAAAGCAGAGAATTGTTGAACACTAGGTAATTTACCTTCATTGATTGAAGGAATAAAAGGGATAATACTTGGAGTCGTTTGGTTAGAATTCTTAAACTAAATTAATACTTTTTTAAAAAAGGAATGAATAAAATAAATTATTTATATTAACAAAATATTTATTGACAAACAGTGGTAATTCCCTTTGGTTTTTTTTCTTCTTTTTTTTCTTTAACCTTTCTTTGTTTCGTTTGTTTAGGCATTTTACAACTGAAAAAAGAGAGTTCTAATAATTTTCTTAGAACCCCTTTTTTAATAGTTACCATCAATTCCCCTCAAATTTATTAAATATTAAATTTTTTTATTTAAATAAATTTTTATAAGATATGTTTTATTTAAATTTATGATGTTTACTCTTTCTTTTATAATAATCAATTACTTCTTTGTTATTTCATTTATTTGTTTTTCTACTTCTTGTTCTAATTTATGATGTTTTCCAAGAAATAGAATTAAATTTAATGCTAATGGCATATAATCATGTTTTCTTCTTTTATTTTCTTTGTGTTGTTGTTCTTTAATTTTTTTTTCTTCATCAATAATATCTTTATATATTTCTATTTGATATTCATTTTTCTCAGCAATAGCATTTTCATATAATTCTTGATATTTCTTAATTTGGTCTTGAACCACTGCTAATAATGTAAATTCAAGACTTCCTTGCATAGCACTAATAAGTCCTTCAAAAAATGGTTTCATTCCTGTTATAGGCCAATTTTCATCAGCACCCCCAATAATAATTGGTCCTTCACTAAGTCCATCAAGTAATAATAATATACCATTATATGGAATGATACTAATAAAGTGATACGCACGTCCTTCTACTCCTTTTAATTTTTTTGATATTTTATGTTCAAGTATTTCAGATGGTTGAGCAAAATCGTTATGAGTTTTTCTAATTATTTCATTATTTCCAATAGCCAATCCACGTTCATGAGGATTTAATGGTAATGTCTGATTTTTAAATTGTTGTAAAGTTGGTCCTAGGTTAATATTTGGGATGTTCATTAATGTCGATAATATTGCTTGAGTAGCACATGCGTTTTGAACAACTTGTTCAGCAAAGAAAATATCAGGATATTCATTTGTTTCAATAAAACTATATTCATTTCTTATATAATTTATTGCTTGTTTATTGTATTCAAATAATAAAATAAATCCTTTTATTGGTCTAGATATATTAATCTATGGTTCTTTCTTTTAACAATTAAAAGCAAACTTAATTCGTTCAAAAGTAGCAGAGTCATCAAAAGAAAATATTTCTTTAAATTGAATGTCATCACATCCTAAATTTTTTACCATTTCATTAAATACTCCAGGATCAGATTCAATGGTATTCCAGTTAAATGTTTCTTCTTCCATGATAATTGATGTATGAATTGATTATTGAGTTTTTTCTATCACTTTAAGTCTTTTCAAATTTAATAATATTTATTTTTATAAAATAATAAATTTTACTTTTTTTAATATTGTATTATAAAACAAAAAAATTTATTTATATTAAATAGTATTAATTTATTTTATTTCTTTTTTTTTTATAAAATGCTTTTAAATAGATGCTTTACTTATGTTTTATTCAGACTTTCTTTGTTAACACTAAGTTAAATACGTTTTATTTTTAAATAACTTTTTAAGAAACTTGACCTTTTAACATGTCATAGAATATATTGTTTTTTTTCTGTCAATACTTCTTTGATTATTTTATTTAATATTTTATTATTCTTATAAGAAATTAGTGTCTTACATTAAATTGACTTTTATTAAATCCACTCCTATTTTATTAGAAGTTTGGTTCTGTTTATTATTGAAAGTTTTTTTTGTGTTATAATACAACATAAACAATTTCTTTAATAGGAGTTAATACACTTTTATTAGGAACGTTGTTATAACAAAAATAATGTAATTACAGCTGATTAACTACTTCATACAATAATGTTCTAAAGTGAGTATTATCTAGAAATGGATTAAAATTTACTTTTTTTGTAAATAATGATTAATAAATAAATAAGAATAAATAGTTAATTAATAATATTATTTAAATTTATTTTTTGTCTTTCTTTATTTATGACTATGACAATAAGATAAAGTTTGATCAACTCTATTATTCAATTTATAATAAAAGTCTGGTTTTTGTAATAATGCAATAAATTGTATTCTTAAATTCTTTTTAACAAAAAGGTTCGACTAGTTTAGTAAAGTTGGAAATTGTTATTATTTAATATAATAGTTATGAAGAAGTAACCCTGTTGATATCTATAACTTAAGTCTCCAGTTGTTAATATAAATTGTTATTTGTAAATGATTATCAAAAGGATTTAATCGTTTTATATAACAAATAATTAAAAGAAATAAAAAAAGAACTTTAAAACCTAAACAATGACTGATAATAAGATTGAAGAAATTGAGAGGTATAAGAAGAGTTTTGTATATTCTGAATCTGAATATGAATATGTTAGTTCTGCATTTTCATATGACGGTGAAATTTTTGTTACTTCAGGTGGAGATAATACATATCGAATCCATTCATTAAGTAATCCTAAAGAACCTACAATATTAAAATCACAACTTTTTGGTTCTGGAATGATTAAATACACTCACCACCCACATGTTATATTAACTTCCTTTAATAATAGAGGAATATTAAATTCATTAGGACTTCTTTGTTTTGACACTAAAGAGTTTGTTCGTGTATTTCACGGTCATACAGATGAAATTATTTCTATTGACCATAATAATTCGAGTGACATGTTTTTATCAACCTCTCTTGATTCTCATGTAATGCTTTGGGATCCCCGTGCTAATAATCCGTGTACTTCAAATATTTTCTTTGGTAAAATATTTCCAGTTGCTTGTTTTAATAATGAAGGTACAAAAGTTGTTGTAATAGAAGAAAATAATGGTCATGTGTTTGACTTAAAAAAGTTCCCTTATGAGCCACTTTTTAATTTTGTTCTTCCAACAGAAAGGTCTTATAGAAAAGTTACTTGTTCTCTTGATGGGTCCAAAGTTGCAGTTTCATCACCATCAGGTAATATTTTTGTTATAGAAAATTTTGAATCTACTGCTCCTATTATTGTTTGTTATTTTTTCTTTTAAAGTTTTGTTGAAACACTTATCAAGGTTTATGCTTATCAAACATAGAGGCCTATCAGTACTAAACTTACTAAAGATTCTCCTTGCATTGAGTTTTCAGTCGATGGATCTCGTCTTATGTTTTCAAGTGGATTTGATGGTAGTGTTAATGTGTTTAATTGCATAGATCATACTACAATACCAATGCCTCAAAGTAATCAAACAACAGTACGTTCAATAAAATGTAACTATAAATATCCAATTGTAGCAACAACATGTTCAGTGGTAAATTGGTGGTCATATGATGATTAAATTAAATTTTGGTTTCTTGTTTTTTGGATATTTTACAATTATAACACATATTTTTCTTTATTAACTATGTGAGTTTGTATAATTCTTTTTAAATTTTAGAACGTTTTTTTATAATGATTTTGTTGTTAGAGAAAAGATATTGTAACCTTATCTTCATTAAAAAACATATGATAACATGTCATTGATTTAATTAATTAATTCTTGATATAACCCATATTTTTTTTATTTTTAGTATATATTTTTTAATGTAAATGAAAGATTGTTTTGCAATAAAATAACGTTTTTTTTGATACAAAATATTACTAATATATACTAAAATATTTAAAAACAAGACTTTATATAATGTATATTCATTTAGTTCTTTATATCTGAGAAATATGAGAAAAAGAAAGAAAGATTAATTATGCAAAAAGCATCTAATTTTAAAGAATATTACAACAGATAAAAAGATGAGTGTCAATTTTATGTTAATAATTAGATACAAATAAATTAATTTAGACTATAAACAAAATAAAGATATATAGAAGAAATAATGAAATATTATTAAAGTAATAGAACAGAATTTTCTTTAAAAGTTAAAGGGAGTATATATATATGAAAACACAAAATTGTAAAGAAAAAGACTAAGAATAAAGAAAAGATATTTACAGTGCTAGAGACATAATTTGAGAATAGAACAAGTAATATAACTTAAGGTATTAAGAAAAGTTAAACTTATTACGAAAAAAATATTAATTCAATATAAGATAACAAGTAAAAGTTCAAAATACAATAAACAAATAGTGTTGTATTCATTTGGTATAGTGCTCATAATAATTCTTATTAATAAAAAGAAACAAAGAAAACATCACTTATGAAAATAATAAATAAATTTGTTCTATTTTTATGTTAATTTATTTAAATTTATGATAAATTATAAATATAGTTTTAAATAACAAGAAAAAACTAGAACTAAAAATTAGATTACAAGTAACATGAATTATTTCACAAACGCTACTTAAAAAACATATAGAAATTATATATCAAATAAAACAATTTAAAAAGAGGGTTATAACTTATCAAAAATTATCATTTGTTATTAAGAGTATTAACTCTAGTTTATGATTAGTATTTATTTAGTTGTGAGATTGGATTTAAAAATGAATATAATAAATAATGTGATTTTGAGTTAACTTGATAATAAACAATTTAAAAAAAAATATTTGAAGTAGGTAAGTAACAAAGAATTGAAATGATATAATTTATAGTTCAGTTTTTGTAATATAATTAGAAGATATATACAATAAACGAATTGGTATTTTTTATTGTAACGGAATAAATAAGAAAAAATAAAAGAAATAAAAGGTTTTTTTAATAAGAGATTTTGAAAAGTAAAATTAAGACTAGTAAAAGAATGAATAAAAGGAGATAAAAATATTAATTAACTGAATCATATTTTCTTTTTACAAGAAAGGCAATCAAAAACAAAACAATAACAAGTAGTAAATTTTTCTTAATAATAATGAGTTTCTTGTTTCTTTAACAAATCACTTAATTGTTCTCTTTCAACCATAATTTGACTAATAATTTTTGCTCGTTCATTCTTTTCTTTCTTAATAGATTCAACTTCTCTTTCAAATCGTTTTTCAAATTCTAATTTCTTTTCTTGAAATTGTTTCTTCCATAATTTGAATTGATTATTCATTTCTTTTAATTTACTTTTTCTGATTTCTTCGTCTTGTTTATAAATTTTTTCTTTTCCTTGTTTATAAGCCATTAACATTTTTTGTTGTTGTTCAATAACCCAAGAATTATAATTTTTTCTTGCTTGAAGAATTCTTCTTCTAATTTCTTTTTTACGTTTTTTAAGTTCTTGAATTTCTTTCTTAGAGGATTCTTCTAACATTCTCATTCTTTGTTGGAATATTTGATATTGTGAAATACTTGGTTTACTTACTTGTCCAACTTTAGTAGCAGAGTAATGGACTTGAGGATAATTTTGTTTGATTTGTTCTTCCCAGTATTTTTGTGTGTCAATTGAATATGCTGCTGAGATTATTAACAATAAAATCATCTGTGAATTATAAATTATGTTTTTTTTAAGTTTTTATTTTTGTTTTTTTCTTTTTATTTGTTTTTTGTTAATTTTGAATTATTATGGTTTTTTTCTTTCAATATAAATATTTCTTGATTTGTCTTAGATTTTACAATTACAACTTCATTAATTAATATGAATTATTATTTCTGAAATACTCAATTAACCTCTTTTATACAAACACTTTTTATTCTTCTTTTTTAGTTTTTTCACTCTTACTAATATTTTTAAAAATTTATTGTTTTAAAATGAAACAAATTGTGCTCATTCAAATCTTATTTGTTTAACAGAAAGGTAGCAACTTGTTGTTATCGATCTTTCCATTAAATACTTTTATATTTTATTAATTTTTAATTTTCTTAGATACGTGTTATTTTTTTTAGATTTGTATTAAATAAGTATATCAATAAATCAGTATGATATAATATTAGTTTATCAATTTTTAAACAATAAAATTCAAAAACAAAGTCTCTATTTAATTGAGTCATAATTAATAATTAAAAAAAGGTATATTTCTCTTTAAATATTCTTTGATTAAAAAAAGTATTAAAAATTTTCTCTAAAGATATTCAATAACCAACAAATTCATAAAGCCCCTTATAATAAAACAACGACTCTCCTATAAGTATCAGAACTAGTATGACCATTCTTGTTATAACTTTTGCTCATCTCAACCCAAGAAAAATAATAAAAACAATTAATGAAATGATCTATCAAACACTGTCTATAACAAAATTAACAAAATTCTTGTTGAAGAAATAAGAATTCGTTCAATCCTCTCTTCAGTTTACTATACACTGACGTTTATAAAGATTTTAACTAAGTTAAGAAATATGAAAAATATGGAAAAAGACAATACAATACTTTAGTAGACCTTAATTAGAAATTATGAATAACTTTTAACGTATAAAATGGAACACCAGCGCAATTGTATTCATTGACTGAGTTAAATCTTTTCAGTAATGAAGTTATGTTATGTGAAAGAAAGTATTAGAGAATTATTATAAAAGATGACAACTAACCCCAGAGAATGAAAGGACGAAAAGAATAACATTTAGCTTGGATAATTTCTAAATTCAAATCTATGGAAAAAGTGTAAATTCAATTGTTAATGAAATGTTGATTATACTAAACCTTGAAAATGAGAAGGTTATATTCTCCAAAATTTGACACAAAACTTTACGTAGGCATCACAAAAGAAGAAGTTCATTGTTACTCTACTTATTTTATCTAAAGATGAAAAGAGAAAAGAACCAAAAACATGAAATTTTTAATTTCCTAAAGAAGGGATTTGTATATAATAGTTTATAGCACCATAAAGAAATTAATCACAAAACGTTATTAAGACCAACTGAAAGAAATTGAATTTTAAATGAACAATAAAATGAAAGTAAATTAACAAGAGTGTCTAGAGCGTATGAATTCAATGCAATTTCATTTACATAAATATGTCATTTAGTATTTATGTTTGATTGATGGAAATAAAGTTAACTACTGCTATAACAATTAAGAATTAAAGTTATTTAATTTGTTGAAAATTACTTCATTAGTTCTAACAAATTGTTAGAAGAATTAAATGTAAAACAAGAACAGTACATTTCTTTCAATAATAAACGATTAGTAGCATAGATCTTTTTATTGCTTCTAAAATACAAAAGTAAATGCATTATGGTAAATACTAAATCAGAAAATTCTTGTAAAAGAAAAAATTATAAAAAGAGCCATTTTTTTTAATCTGGAAACGATAAATACAAGAATCATTAGTTTTAAGTTCGCCTTTGAAGTTCATTGAAAACCACTAAAAGAGCCAATCAAAATCAGAATATATATATAGATCAATCTATTTCTATTTAAAGAGAAATTTATTTATAGAAATTTGCATAAAAATTTAAAAAAAAAGGGGGGAAATAGAAGGAAGG